CCAACAATGCTCAAAATTGTCTTAAATACTGACAATGCATGTGCCCCTGTGCAAGAGGAACTGGAGACAATTTACCGAATTTACACTGAATTTGTTTCACAGAACCCTTTGGCAAGTAATGAGGAGACCGTTACTAGCCAACTGTTTATTGACACTTTGGATAATTATGTCAAGAGTCTTCAAATTTTCAAAAAATAAAAGTTCAATCCACATATCTCTTTTTCTCTGTTTATGTTTGATCCTTGTCTCCCTTTCCCCAAACGTTTTCATCTGGAAATGTTCATTGTAGGCTACCTTGAGGTGAGCTAGCCTCCAATTCTCACTATGTCGTCTACGGCACGTGTTGCGCCTGAACGCGAATTGACACACGACCTATTGAATCCAGTGATCTCAACATCCAATCAAAACACATGTGCTGTGTCTGGTCACGCAGATATAAATGCTGAATTAATTAGTGAGTACACGGGACCCGTAGAATCGGTGCTACCACGCGAATTCCGCCAGAGGTTGCACAAGCATTTCGCTCGCATTGAACGTGAATTTGAACGGGAATATCGCCGGCTCTATGGAGAAAACCTTGCGTGTAAGTCTTTTACATTTCACCCGTATCAGAATAATTTAGCCATACGAAAAAGAAAATTAGAAATAAAAGAATTGCAGTTTTAATGTCATCACCTTATCGATTTTCTATGGGCTGATTTTTCCAACTGTAAATCCGTGCTTGATTATAGTATAAATCGCTGTCATTGGCGTGCATCGGTTCATGTGTCCCGTAGTTTGAACCCGGCAGCTGTCATTCAGCTTGCATCCTGGGCAACCTGGTTGTTGTGATTTATTGGGATTTCATGCAGTTTACTGCCCTAAACTGCAGCGCTTAGGTTTCCGTGATTACATAGAAGAGCCGTGGTATTATAGTCTTACTCATCTACGCTATGATATGCAAGATAATATACACGTATGGGAAATGATAAATCTTGAAACAGTATAGTTGTGTGAGGCTGAAATTCGTTTTGAGTCGTTCTCTTATAAATATAGTTTGAATTTCTTGCTGCGTATTAGATTACTCTTTGGTTTGCCACTGTTCCGCCTAGTGTTGCCACGATTAAGTCTCTGATTCTTGTGCGCAATCCGATGGAGTATGGAATGACTAAATACTCTACTCTTCATTTTGCACTTGTATCATTTTTCCCCACTAGTCCCTATAAAATTTATTTGGTGAACTGTTTCTTTCTTCGTGCACCATTCACATAGTACAAGAACGGCTTGAGAAATTTGAAGATACTGAGCACTCTGAAGGACCAACATTAGCGAAAAAGTGTAAGTTTAACATATTGACTATGAATTCGAAGCGTATTATGTGTCTAATTCCCATAAGCCCTCTGGCAAAATCCAAGTCTGATTAGTCATCTGGAACCTAAGAACCAACAATCACATCCAATTCAGTGACACGTTGGTGATATTACGGACCAATCGATCAGAGAATCGCTAGGCAGCAGTTCCCTCACAGCTTTCTCATGGCTGTTTCTTTTTCACCAACCGCGTTTTGTTGCCACCACTCGGTGTTTTTTCGTAAAAAATGTTTTAGCTAAAAGTTGCTATTTCTTATTTGATTAACAATTGGTTTTTAATTATTATGGATGTTGTTCAATCTCGTTTCATGAATGTACCTTATTCAATCGGTTAACGGTTGTTAGTCTACGAAGTGATGTCGCAGAAAAAGTTGTGCAGCTGTACTAAACTGATTCCACGCAAATTACACTGTAGTAGCAATATGAGTGTATTGCATACACTCTCGAGGTTCATTAATTCATCATTTTTGCTCCTCGCTGAGTTATCAAAACAGTAATTTCACATGCAGCCCATTCGGCTATCCCACGTTTATTGGATATTAAATTGCTAGGAGGAAATCGTAAAAACAGCCCCTTATCGTCCCGAGTGAGTCAAAGTCTAGTTCTTGCTTGATTGCATTCTTGACGAACATCTGTGGTAATCCGATCGGCTTCTTTCGCATCGTCGATTGAGTGCCGGCTAAGCCAGAGCAGCAGCAACTAATATCCTTCTGAATAGATGACATCCTTCACGTGCTCCAACACCAGCACAAGAGTTTGTATCCTCAAAGCTTTTACACTAGATAAATTTCGCGTCATCTTAAGGATAGGTTGTGATTAGCATTCGGTAATGCAAATCTATCGGATTATGGTCAAACGAGAAAACCTTGATAAGCTAGAACCAGGTCATAAATACTTGGTACGTTCCACAACTTGTGACCGGTCGATTGCACCTTGCACGTACTCAACGCGCGCACTGACAGTGAATGCGTGCGACATCTGATGTCTGCAATCGTGATTGCTGGTCGTACCCGCTTGAGGTTCTTTAGAATGCTACGCGCGCTGAGTACGCGGTGTGGAACCAAGGTCCTCTGGTCACCAGTTATGGAACACTTTTTTGTTAATTGGATTAATGTTACAGGAGCAGTAATAGCTTTACAGATTAGCATTTCGGTGCACAATTGATACCTTAATACTATCAACAATTCGAAGTTTGCGTTGATCACATGACAGAACGGTTCACTTAGTCTCATCGTGCGGCACTCGAAGAGAACTGTAAAGCGCAAAGTGGGTACTGCAGATTTCGTAAGCAACACTATTTGATAATTAGATTTCCTACATTGTGCCCATAATTTTACTATTCCCGTTACTATGACATCGGTTTAACAAAAGACCTTGAGAAAAACAATGCGTGAATAACTGTAAACAGAGAATGTGGTAGTGCTGTGTTCTTTGTTAATAATGATGGAAAAAGTTCACGGAAGTATGAAGGAATAATGCGCAAGGTGAATGCAAAATGTATTTCACAATAACAATAAATTTGTCTAGTTCCCAGATCTGAGTAAAAGGGTCTTCTTAATCCACAGTGTACCGTTATTCTCAAAGTTGCGATGAGTAGCTTGGTGAAGCTTAATTTGAGGAGGACGGAAAACTCGAGCCAAGCCAGGTCAGTTTTTTCACGTTAAGTGATATTAATTTTCTACTTCTTTGCGTTAGACGCGCTGTCTTTCCGGCCTAGTCACTTAAAGTGTAGAGATTTCCGAATGTGAACAAGTGAAAAATGCATTTTAAATATCTTGGGCAATTTGAAAGGAAACTATTTTGTGTGAAAACGGTCATAAATTTTCATGACCTTTTTCGAATTTCCCTTTCGGCATCAGCCGTCTGTAGCCGTAAATTTTGTTATTAACAAAAGAAAGACGTACTGTCCAAGGCGCTCTTCATGCAGTGTTTTGGTTCCTACTTGGGCAGTTTAACACCAGCGCAACGAGACGGAGGTCATGGAGACAGCCGATTGTACTCAATTGTATCACCTAAAACCGTTTTGTTCACTGTACTTTCCTATGGTTGTACAATATCTACATACCCCGTGGGTAGTGCCCTCCGGGTTTTCGAATATGAGTCGTACTACTTTTTGCATGTTGCATGTTGCTTATAGCGCTTCGTACGTCGTACACACTCTTCAGACATTGAATATGGGTTTACTTTCCGGTTTCTCACGGATTCTGGTTGTAAGCAACATACAAGTGAGCTGTTAGCTTTGTCCGGTTGGAGATTTACATTCTATAATCGAGTTGTATTTTTTGTTCAGGGTGAATTTGTGCTCGGAGCAGGGCACCACTATTATTATCAATGATATTCTTATTCTGGCTATTGCCTTCTATGAAAACCAATTGTAATTCGACGGTGACCCTGCTCAATTGATTTGTCCTGAAATATCTGTCCACTGAGATGAGAAATGCCATTAACGCCAATCCAGCCATGAGATGCGCTGTATGCATAAAGACGTTATCATTTTCGAACATCGTGGTTCCCAGTGGTTTTCTCAAATCACCCAGTGAGAAACGAGTTCAAGGTTTTGGTGTGAGTCAGCTGTCCTCTCAAATAAAATTTGCCATTCCCAAAAGCGGACCGTGACTGAACCCCCGTTATAGGATCGATAGCTAAAGACCACCTCACTCTCATACAGGTCATGTTAATAGTACGAGTCCAACAAGGCCGTCGATATTAACCTTTTCCTTTTCGCATATTATATACCGTTCCATCCATTGGTCCGATTTATGCGGTTTCTAATCCGCCCTATCTGAACACCAATATTGCAGATTTTTATCCATGGTACTGATTTAATTTTCCTGAATTTTAAGTATGATGCATATGGTTATAGCTGCTCTGCTCACCACAAATTCGCCCTCAAATGTCGTGATCACTGTTTCGCCAGTGCACCTGTTATCTGGTTTGAAGCAGAACTCCCCGAGAGCGGTCTCGTGTCTTATTCCGGGATCTTCTGTCGAAATTCGTGCTTGTTGACCGAAGAGTTGAGACGAACTCGCAGTGACCGTTGATGTTTTCTAAATCTGAATACTCTGTTCTTTCTGGGCCACTATTTTCCTTTTTGGAGCTCAGATATCCTCGAACCACTTGTCATTAGTCTACCTCGACCAATAATGGGTATGTGAACACCCAAACGTACGCCCTTCGTGATCAGAATTCACTTCCCACATACGACACGGATATTATTCAGTGGTGCATATCGCTCGAAACATTTGCGGCACGACTGATTCATAGTATAATCCACGTAGTGAGCTACGATGTGCACTGCAGATACAGCACTCATTAGACCTGACAGCATTTCTTCCCCCGTGGACGTTTTCTCAGACAAATCAGTTTAGCAGAATTGGTTTGGTTTTCTCTATCATCTTACGACGGTAAGTTGTCTCATCAGCGTACCGAAGTTGATAAATCTGATTGATTTGGCTACCGAGAAATTGTAGATAAACTGAGTGGGTTATACCATTTCGCGCACTCTATTTCCTTTAATGACTTTGTACACTGTTCTAAATGGTGCAGCCCTGCGTAAATCATTGTTGTCTGAAAACACAAAGGTTACAGCTTGAAAACAGTTTATTTGATACCGAGCAACTTGCCTGGGGGCAAAAGCTCAAACACATATTGTCTGAATGGTTAATAGAGTCCATAGCCTTAATATAAGAAAGCGCAAAATGAACCAGAAGCACTGTCTGTGTGTGTTGTCTTCGTTTCAAACAAAATGTTTTATGCAGCAAACTGTTGCAATCGTTTAAACAATCCCAATGTGCTGAATTGGAGGAAAAGGACTGATATAGAGCTAAGAAGTTATTATCATCATCATTATACAGCGAAATACAGTGAAGCGAACTTCACCGATCGCTGCCACACTCGCAATCAGTTAGAATGTGCAAGGTGGACTGGGATTGAGTCTATTTTCAGAGAGGGAGCAAGAAAGTAAAACCGTTCGGTCAATACGCAGAGTACACAATCTAACTGGACATACATACCCGTTCAAGCATTCTGACCCGATAAGAAATGACAACAAAACGTCACTGCTATCGGTTCGCTGCCATATTCTTCACTGTTTCCAACCAACCAGTTGCAGAGTCTTTTGTGCTCCAAGTTGGAAGGCAGGAAACACCTACTGCCAGCTAAGGAATGAGATAAACGTAAAGCTATACGTTTTTTTATCGACGAAATTAAAACGGTTAGTACATACATTTCCTTAGCTTCGTCCCCATCGAGTACAACGAATCCAATGCTTATAATCTGGAACCTGACAATCTACTCGAATGAAACAGTAACGGATAACGAATAAGAAAGCAGTGGTGTAGCATGGGGAAATCCAGCACATGTTTTAAAACAATAAATACTCTTACCGATTCGCTGAAAAAATGCTGTGTATCATGAAATCACTTATGGAAGTACACAAAATGGGATAACCACACGGCACGACCTCGACGTATTTGGTACAGTGTTTCCAATACATGCTAACACAAGTGGCACACAGGAGTGGTGCATGAAAACACAAATCGGACGCCCTCAGACTGCGCACAGGAGACCACACGCAAATATGGGGTAGATCCGAAAACTACCCGGCAGTCACGAGAATCGCCTAGCTCAAAATACGATCACAACACAATAGCACAGCACTAGCACTAGCATGAAAGTGACAACGTGTAATTAACACAAGAAGCAAGTTGGAGCTACAATCTCAGCTCATCTGTTTATATAAAATTTACCGACCCGCCGAATTTCAAACACATTTCTTGTATAGAAATTGATGTAGCTGTAAATGCTCGAGGACGACGCTACGAAAAAAGCGTGTTCGCATACGATTGGCTTTCTGAAAACTAAACAGAAACACTCCGTCTTAGGTGCGTCCATGTACCTAAGCACAAGAATTCAAGGATGCATCATTCGTGGCGTATATGACAGATTCCCTGGGTGCAATACATCCTTAGAGTAATACGGACTACCTGTCTTATGTCTCATGCTGATTGGTTTGAGGTGACTGTTTAATAAGTTGGATCGCGATGTTTGGTCTCTGCTGTTTATATTCTGGTCAACACATCCCTGAAAAGGATTTATATTTCCATTGTATGCACTTCATGTTTGGTTCCTGAGTTCATTGGATTTTGTTTGAATACGGGGCACTGTCTAACATGTAATTTGGTTATGAAATCGTTCAGTGGGTGCCAGTCTACTATCCCAACGGTTTAAACAACAATACAAGCAATCAGCCTCGCGTTTGGTCTCTAGCCTGCGCCCTTCTGCTGGGCATGCGGGCACAGCAGGAACAATTGGACAAAACTCAGGGCTCAGTTCGGGTCATGTAGGCTCCTCCACTATGCCTTCCACCGTTCCTGCGAACAGTTTGCCCGGTACACCGGCCGTTACTTTGTCACATTTACAAGCAAACACTCAGGCCCAAACCTCTTCCACCGTGTTTGCTGGCACATTGGCTGGACACGGTGGATCCTGGCAGCTCGTCAGTCGTGTCACAGGTCACCGGGATGGAATTTGGGAGGTGACCCCGCATCGCCGATTCTTAGCCACGGCGTCAGCAGATAATACTGTTCGATTGTGGACCAACAGTTCTCCACTAAAGTATGTACCCATTTGATGTTCTTTTTTTAGCTTGATATGTAAATGCTTAGTTAACAGAAAGTTGTCAATTAACCATGCATGCATATTGTGTTTAGGAGTTCGCTCATTTTGGTGTTCTTCATTATGCCGTATCATAGAGGCAATGTTCAAGGTTGAGCATAGCAAATCTGTGCTTATTCGGTTACCTAGACTTTGCCCAGGTTACCTAGGGTTTTTATAAATTCACAATTATTATTTATCTGATAGCTTATCAACTTGTTCCGGTCACTTCCACCGGGGGGTCTGTTCAGAGTGGAAATCTGTTTCAATATTCGCGCAGTGTTTATTTATCATGTATGCACTGATAAAATACCGTTTGAAGATGAATGTCCCGTTCTTTCGCCCTAGGTACTCCAATATGTGTATTGGCTAATTATCACAGCTATTTCTAAGGTTTCATTTCTGGCATCGGTAAATTAAATGCCCCACAGTGATCATTTGCTGCAGTTTTCTCCAGGTTTCATGTTGTTTCCGTTGGGAACAAAGGTTTAATTGAGGAACAACACCCCATCATATAGCTTATTGTGGTTATAAATTTTTTACTTTTTTACTGTCAGTGACTTGCATCTATTCCGTTCCACCGCTTCTGGCCTCTCTGCGGTGCGCGTCTACTTCTGGTTTTGCCTTAATCGTGACCAGATCAGTCCCTATTCAAAATACCGTGTACACTTCCCGGAACATGACACTCATCGATCCTACTTCAAAATGGGAGTATATCGATAACCACTGATAAGTCCGTTTGTTTTGTTGCAAGGTCCAAGCACGCCGATAACTTTGGTACATAGTCATCATCCTGAAATCCGCGTGCGTCACCACGATGCAAGCCATCGCCCACAGAAACCGAGCAGAGTTACTGATTCAAGTTTGCCCCAATTGTGGGGTTTAATGAGAATCACCCAGTTTATTTGGCATGTATCAACGAAGGGAAACACAGTCAACTCCAGTCCAAAGATTTCCACCAAATCAGATTTATCATTCATGTTTCAGTCTTCATTTTCTTAAAACCACTAATCATGGTTTTTGTTGCTGTCTCATGACTACCCATTGGAACGGAGTAAAGTATCAGAGTAAAAATAGAGAATTCTTGAAGACTAAGGACAGTGCTTAGATGCGCCAGTACCACTGTTTGTGACACAGCCATATCACTAAGCAAAGCTAACAGTCGATTACGCCAATCCAGATTTCCGTATTCAGAAAGTCTGACGTGACTTATGTGAGCCAGCGTCCTGCTCAAGGTTTTCGTGCCCTCACACCAGGTTTTAGTTTGACTGGATTGACCACTTTCCATTCACTGCCTGCCTCGGCAAACGACACACCGTGGTGATCTATTGGGTGATGTGCGCAACAGATATCCGAGCAACGTAATCGACCACTTGCTCTAGTGGGTGACCGCGATTACTTAAGAATCTGCGCCTAATTTCGGCTTTACTTGTCTGGTTGCCCCAACAAATTCGTGCAGTGCGATATCCACTGCGGTGTTCGAACATCGAGTCCAAGTTTCTGCACCGTATGGCAGCACTGGCCGAACTGCTGCAGCAGACACTCGATCCTTTACGGAAATCCGGTTATCGCGACGGCGCCACAGGTGTCTCAAGTTGGCAAATGCAAATCGAGCCCTCTGTATTCGAGCTGACACTTCATCAATGATGCGTCTGCTAGGTGAGGTAGCCACTAGTGCACATTTGCTTCACTATACTTCTGGGTATGTATATGTCAAGCTGCTGCGCATGCATTCCTTCAGTTTATCCCTGCTGGTTTCAAACCAGTCTACTTCATTCATTCTGACATGTTGATTCTGCTTCTGTTCCAACGTTGCACTAAGAATCAATCCTCTCTTTCACCAAATAAATTAGACACATGATACTTCTCAGCTTACGGTTACACACACACACACACACACACACACACACATTCTCCGTGTCTCTCTTATCATGAAAATGTACTAATGGACGATTTCTTTCCCGAGCAAGGTAGAGTTTGTTCATGGCGCAGGGTATCCGATGTGGGCTATCCGGTACTGTTGAGTGTTGTTGAGTTACAGGCTTTTCTGTGTAGTTAAGTTACCAGTTACTAGGGTAGACATTGTCTAGATGAAGGCCAGAAGTGGACAGTTTCCACTCTGGCAGGAAGCAGAAAACTGTGATCAGCAGATGAAAAGAGATGACGTGCATATGAATGTTTAGACTTGTTGCCAACATGGACTGAGTGAAACTTGCTAGAAGCACTGCGATGTTTGCACCGTAAGAATGCGGTTTGGTGCACCGTGTCGTACCGCTTTCACATACTGTACATACATGACAAATGGGGTTCACGGGGATGCATGCCAAGGTTGGAATTTTGCCTAAGTGAAAGGATAATGGTTACACCGAGATGTGTGCTTTGTTTTGTAGCTAGTGGAGTTGGTGTACATAATTAGCAAATGGGTCTTCAGTAGGAGTGCTGAATTCAAGTTCGTTCGTTCGTTTTTGTCATCCAGCATGTTCTTGTTCGCCTAGAGTTCACCTTTCTAATTGCATTATGTTTTAGTACGTACTTCTATTATGTTCCATCCCAACCTCAGCTCGGTTGCATATGCTGCCTTATTATCTGTAACGACCTAACCATATTACATTGTTATTTATCCTAGGAGTTTCTAAGAGTATATACATTTGTATTCCACCGAAGTGAATAACCAGAAATCCTTGTTCTTTCTGAATTCAAGCTGCCTCATGGTCTACCTCGGTCACTACGGTTCGGCTAACTCAGTCCGATTCCGCACTCGTGATCATCTGTTGCTAACCTCAAGTGGGGACGGGACGGCGCATCTGATCCGACTTCCGTTCGATTTGTTGATGAAAGCCACCAACTGTTTGAGTTCGGTCAGTCAGAATTCTGCTTCTAGTTCGAACGCAGTTGTGGCGGCATTTGAGGCGGCCAGCTCCGCTTTGACTTCGGAATTTGCCGGATCCGGGGCAATGGGACTGGGTGTGGGAACCGGTAATTTTGTGTGCGATTGTGTGCTATTTGTTATCCCTTTTGCGTTTTCCTCTCACGACCTACTACTTTCCTTCTATTTGTGTGGGTTTTGGTTGGTGTAGTGAAAATTGTTTTTCGGTATATTCTCGGTTACATTAGATTCCAGTCAAGAATGCACGTTATTTATCCATAGTGTGACAAATTTTCAGGGAGTTAATGTGATACTCTGACACTACGCGGCTCAGTTCAGTTCAGTTTTTACAATCATAATGCATGCGTTTTCGTGCACCGGTTTCGGTTACTTTCTTATGACTATCCACTACTACGTTGGAAGGGGGCAATGTTATACACTCAGTAGTTGTTCAATAATAAATGTTTTTCAGTTTGTTAAAATCGTTTTGTTTGTAAATGCGCATCCTGACAATATAAAATCCCATTGAATTGCGGTTTGCCGCAGTGTGTGCATAAGGCAGTTTGAACTTCTTGTGGATAGCCGATGTCGAGATTCAGCGTGAAGAGCAATCTGGAAGAGGGTAGTGCATATCCGAAAAGATAATATCACTCACTCGTTCACCAGAAGAAAATTGATTATTCAATAGAAAGTAAATGAATCATTACAAGGAATCAAATCACATTTAAGATGAGATGAGAAATAATACCGAAGTATTCAAAGAATATTAAAATGCTATTCACCACGTATCTAGGATGTCTGATGAATAAAAGACTGAATTGTACAATTAACCATAAACAAAAGTTCAAAAATATTTCAGGATTCATGGAGAAGCTTAGGGACCTAGATCGGAATAAGCATGCTTCTTTTACGGATGATCCTGGGTGCCGTAGTGAGCGAAGCAGCTAATTGGTATATCATTATCCTATTTGAAAGTAATCGTCTAGGTGGTAAGCGGAAGACCACCCATGCACAAAGAAACGTTAAACGGATTGCAGGTTAAAGTACTTCTGTATTGACTAGATCATAGGAGACTTACGACTGCATAAACGGATGTATTGATATCGATCGATTAAGCAATCACACTGACAGTCGGCCAGTAATGGCGATCTCGAAGATAAGTTTTTACCTCGGGAAGTGCAGTTTGAAAGTCAAAAAAGGAATCAGAGATTGTTTTGTGTTTTGGTTCCAATGGTTGAGGTGATAGAATCCGTAAGGCATGCCATAGCATCCACTGGGGAACATTGTTCTCGATATTCAAATTGGTTGGCATAAGAAATCAAATACAAATCTTGAATATTCCCATGATAGCATTGAGAAAACGAGTCGGTGAGCGAACAGTTATTTTCGGGTATTCCTAGTCATGCTCTTACATATCATATAGTGGAAAAAGTTCTTACATACTGATAGCCATTGGCTCAAAATTTGGAGGCAGAGAGTAATGGGAGTGTGTGTGTGTGTGTGTGTGTAGAAAGATTTTTCCACTGTATGATATGTAAGAGCATGACTAGGAATATCCGAAAATCAGATACAGTTGTTATCAAAACAACGCACCAGTGACCACTGCCACGACCAGGACGATGTGTGTGGTTCGTACATCTCTTCTTGGTTGGTTTGAAATCAGGGTTTTTAACCAACTCCCCAAGGTGATCCGCCAGTGGTTCAACGCTTTCGGATGCCGGCTTTTTGTCCTCTCACTTTGTTGAGAAAACCTCCACCGCGAGAAGGCAATGAATAGGGCTTCCTCAGCAGAGGCTGTTTTGAGACGCTTGGGAGCATTTCGCGAT